TTTAACTCTGGTTGCAGATACACAGCCAATGAAGACTTTCTGAATGCAGATGCAGTCTTCGACTTCATTGGAGATCCGCCGGAGGAGCGATTTGACTTGGCATTCTGCAGAAGCCTTCTCAAGCAGTACGTGAGCTAGCTCATATAGTTTTCAGTAATTATCCGTTCCATCAAAAATTCCTTGGATGGTGATTAGGGTTTCAGCTAAGACAATAAATAAATGCCACAGCACTTTGTAGCAGTCTTGATGTATATTAAAGTATAAATTAGCAATTCTCAAGCAGACAAAGTTTTCATTGGTGAATCTCTGGGTGAAGTATTATAAGGGGCTTCTATTGCTAAGGCAAGCTTTTGGAATGATCTTAAGCTATGAATTTCTTTCACGCTGGATCTAGTCCAATGTTAATTTCTATTTTATCAGAACAGGTTGTTGTGAGATGAATCTCCATAGCATTTATATATCTAATCAGACAGATTTTTTCTATGCAATATATGTTAAAAGAAAACATTACACGATTCTATGAATTATTCACAATAAAACTTAGCTACACATAGTTTCTAGGTTGAAGAGTGTTGTAGAGCTCCCAAGGAAGGGTAGGAGTGGCAACAAATAACAAAACTAAGCTCTTGTTACTACTTGAAGCTTCACTAACCATTCCAAATTCACTTGCTCTTCTCACTTCTCATTCTGTTAATTTGGTTTAAAGCTGGCCCAAGGATGTTGTACAGCACCCACAGTATAGCTGGAATGATGGGGAGTAGGAGTGCCAGGGCACGGTTATCACCTTCTGCAATCTCCGCTATTTGTTGCGCACTGAAAGCAGGACCGCAAGAAATCAAGGTGGAAACGATGGTGCTGGTGATCAAAGTGGAACACTTGGAGTTGATAGGAGATTTGAAGGGGGTGAAGCTTTTAGGTATGTCTTTGAGGGTCAGAAGGGAAATATGTTTCATGGTTGGTTTATAAGTGCTCATATTTTTGGAGGACTTGATGGCGAAGCACCTATGATGAAGCAAAGCCATGGTAGTTCCTAAGGTTGCAGCCATGTAAGTTTTTTAAGGTTTGGTGGAGGCTCAGAAAAGAAAATTTATGAGAGCCAAAATGGGTAAGCATGAAAGTATATAACTGTTTCCAATAGCATACTCTAGATTTTTCTCCACATGAGCGGTTAGATTATGGCCTCAACTTCACATGCCACCCACCATCTTTTCTCATCAAATTAAGACTTAGCGCAATCAGAGTTGAAACCAGTGGTGGAAAATGAAGCAACTTTATACATCGAGACACTGTTTTCAGACGTTCACATCAATCAAACTAGCGTAGTGAACTTGTCTACATGGACCTCTTGTGCGGGTCAAACATAACCATAGACAGAGCCAAAACAATCTCAATGAGTTCGAAGAAAAAAAGGAGCATTTTGTCGTTGGACAATAATCTTATTTCTGTGTTGAAAAGTTATCTTATGATACAAAATTGGGATGCATTGGACTGGAAAACACGCTCTACCTCTAACCCTTCGTGGACAATTATGTGCAAGAATAAGGCTTGCGCATACAGAGTAACGCTTCTTTTCATTTTCTCATAAATTAATACCGTTTTACAACCCTAATCATGGCTGAGGAAACCTGCCTACCCCATCACTTGCTTACAATTTAATCTTGAAGAAGACTCGACAAGCCGACACATGAACTTGATGCAGACACTGCTTTAATCATGTTGGACTTGGCAGCATCCAGCAATGGGTCTGCCTGGAGGGCTTTGCTGAAGCAGAATTTGGCTTCTTCCCACCGTCCCTCAGCAACAAATACAAGACCCAAATTGTTAAATGCAGGAGCATAGCCAGGCTGGAGTTCAAGAGATTTTGTAAACATTGCTTTGGCACGTTCATATTGCTTCTGCTGGCGGTAGAGATTTCCAAGGTTGGAGAGTATAGCATGGGCATGTTTAGTTGTTGCCAATGCCAAGGCACGCTTGTATACTTCTTCAGCGTGTGATGACTCCTCCGATAGTTGCAGTGAGATACCTAGTGATTTATGCATACGATAAATAACTTTACCAACTTCTTGAGAGAGAGAGAGAGAGAACCAAACAAATATAGACATAAGAAAATGGTATTAAGATTGAGATACCTAGATTTGACCATGCACAGCTACATTCCCTAAAACGGGAAACTGCTGCTTTGAGGTACTTCTGTGAGTGTTTGAATTTCTGAGTACAAAGGCTATGAAGACCGAGTTGGTGCCATTGCACAGCATCATCTGGATCCTCTGCTATTGCCTGCATAAAACAGCCTAACATAAATTCAAGTGCATCGTATTGGACATGGATATGATTTTCCAAATAATCATGGTGTAAACATACTTACATAAAACAACAAAATTTAGCAAGTTACTTTCTTTTTGAATTTTGCTAACAGACTATGGATTATGAGGGTCACATATGATAGGAAACTTACAATCTGTATTATTTTTTGAAAAGGATAAATTTTTTTTTTCATAAAAAACCATACAAAATGGTGGACAAGTAATCCGCCAATAACAGGAAGAAACAGTAAAATGAGTACAGAGATCTCCAATTATGAGAAGGAAACAATCCTAATCAAGACACTGCAGCCTTCCACCTCCTACATTTCTGACAAACTTGTCACTCAACTAAAGCTAAAAATCTTGTTTATTACAGAGTCACATTAGGCAAATATGAAAACAAAGGTTGTGAAGAGATGTATGTTATTCCAAAGAACAAGTGTACATCCTGTCTCTTCCGGTTTGAAAAACCTAATGTGACTATTCTTTTTTACTATAAACGGTGGAATCGTCCGGTGCAGTATATAAAAGCCAATCGATTTGAATATGTCATCCATTATTACATAAGGAGCTCCTTTTATCATGTCATGTCATGCTAAGAGAAGTAAATGGAATCTTAGTAGCTCTGTTGTGATTACCTGCTTTAAACTATAATCAGCATGTTCTTCTACCTCCATTAGTGTATTCTGTTCAGTTTCAAATGCTGCTGCAATCTCGTGTTGGGTTTTGTGCACCATCGCAAGCCCTGTCCATGCTATCGGAAGTTCAACTAAAGCAGAGTCGCCATCTCTTATAATTGAAGCCATTTCGTTTCCAGCCCAGGAAAGTTGTTCACTAGGATCTTGACACCTTTCTGCATCCTTGATTCGGTGGATTGCAATAGCATATCGAGTAGACATACAACAATTGACCTCTAGTTTTGCTGCCTAAGAAGCAAGCAGTAGCAAGAAAAAACAGCTTAAGCCAATTTGTTATTTTGTCAAGGATGGAGTAGAAGCCATGTAGTAAAAGGAGCATAAAACTGTGCTAAAAACGATAAGCAGCAAAGTGATGCATGCAACACAAGAATGAGCAAAAAGAGTGTGCATTCTTAAGTTCTATTTTTCGACCCGTAGAAATAAAATAAAATAAAATTTGGAAAGACATGCACTGAAAAAAGTTTTGAATCATCATTTTCCATAAATGAAAATGAAAACCATGAAAAATAAGGACACCAATGAACAACCTCAAGAAATAAGCTATAAATGATTGTAGCAATGAGCCATGAGCACCTTCTCCAAGCACTTGCTGGAACTTCTATGATCACCAGTTATATAATATGCATTAGCAAGATTAGCCCAAATATGTGCTGCTTTAGGATCTTCTTTTAGTGATGCTAACAAACACTCCTTTGCAACATTTATACCAGAAACGTGATCTGCAGAAGTACCTTCACCAGCATTTGCCCCAGCACCTGAAAATTAAGCAAGGGATGCAGGTTCTTCAACCAGACATTATCACAAATTTAAAATTATAAAGCAGCATTCTACAAAAATTGACCAGTATCCACCATCTTAAAAATTTACATAGTAGGTACTGCAAAAAAACAAATGAAAAGAGTTCATGAAACTAGTCAACTTCATCAAAAGCATACCTGCAACAACTGAACCATATCTACATAAAAGAAGGGCAGCATAATTTATCAAGGCCGCGGGATGATTTTGATCCTTCAGGATCAACTCCTGAAAACATTTTTCTGAAAGTTCCAAATTTCCACTGAAGAAAAGACCATTTGCAATCATTTTAAGTAAAAGATATATACGAGGTCAAAACATTGAAAAGAACATTATTCTATCAACATGTATACACTCTTACTTTTGAAGATAAGCAATCCCAAGGTTTCCAAAGCAATCAAAGTTGTCGGGGGCAACAGCTAACAAAGAAGACAAAACTGAAATAGCACTCTAAACAGTAATAAAAACGTCCATATCAGAAAATGGAAAAAGAAAGAACAACTATTACCAACAACAAAATTAAACACTTGTACCTGCAGACGGCCAGTTTTAAGTAGAATCAAGCCGAGGGTATTCCAGACAGCTGCCTGTCTTACATCTGACTGCATTGACTCCTTTAGTTTCGAATTAATTTCGTCCAGCTCTTGAGGTTCAAGTTCTTTGTCGAAACTGCTATCCCCCAAAGTTTCTAGCATAAGGCACTACACAATTGACAAAAACACCCGCTGGG